AAGGAGGTCGCTCTCCAACAAGGGCTTCCTCTGCGCGGCCCATGGGAAGGGGGTCAGAGCGCAGCTTCGGAACCAGCGCAACAGATGGAGCCTGGCCCGCTTCCAGCATCTGACTCGCGCTGCGATTTTGGTTTTTCCACCGAAGTCCTGGAGACTCTTTCCCCCATTGTAGTTGTTCTAAAACGAACAACTGGGGTCGGTTTGCCTCGGGGCAGGCTTTCCTCACCCGGGCCCCGACGCTCCTGGGAAACGCGCGATCTGTGGATCTGGTCGGGTCAGCCATGCGGAGCCCCCGCTACAGCGCGCGGCACAGCCCATCCCGCCCCCTCCCCGGCTCAGCGCGCCAGCCACTCACAAGCTCCCAGATGAAGAGCAGTTCCGGGAAGGTGGTGAAGACAGCGAATCCTCTAGGCGATCGTCTGTCGTCCACACCGGCACGCCGGCGTCGGCTTAAGTAGAGCAAATAAGCAGCTTGGCCTCCGACCTGACCGCTCGCCTGCTCGGCAGACCCCATGGGCCCGGACGCCCCTTGAGCGGGTTGAGAGCAGAGGAGCCCGGGACCCGGGAGGGAGGTGCCCGGGCCACCGTCCGCCCTGCCCTGTCCGAGCCATTGGTGCGCGCCCCAAAGGACCCGCCCGAGTGCCTCCTGCGCCGCCCTGAGCGACCGGAGGGCGCGCCGCAGGCTTGCGGAGCTGGGGTCGGGGCCGGACTCCTGCGTCCCATCTCCGGTGGCCATCTTCCCTGGGGAGCAGGACAAAGCCACTTCAGGGAAGCTCTTACACGCTTTGCACTCTTCGCAGGTGGTCACCATCCCTTAAGGATGATAACAATAACTAGGCTCCCAAAACTCCCCACCGTGGCACCCCTCGGGTCACCATTGCTTTAACTGTTCTTAAATTGTGTCTTCATCTTGCCACTGGGCGCGTTAATATGAGCGACCTCGGCGTCCAGGCTCACGGTGAAACGAGGTCCTAGTCCCGCCCGCAGCTGCAGGCTGGAGGTCTGCAGGGTTGGTGTTGAGACCAGCTCTGACCACCAGCCTTTCTCCCCGCGCCTTCGGAGCCGGCGCCAGGAACCCTGCACCCAAGGTCCACGCCACTCAGTGCTGGAGCTTCCAGTCTGTCTGTATGACGGTAGGAGGTTTCTCGCGGCCCTGTCACCCCCGGAGGAGGTGGTGGGGGGTGGCGGTGCTGGGGCAGATCTGCATGGAATCCAAGGGACAGGAAGGGCCTCCTAGAGCAGATCTATGCCCTCTCTCAGAGGGGGCAGCCCTGCGCCTCTGCGGTGCAAGACTCCTCCTCCCTGTGTCCTGTGACTACCTGTTGCTGCTGGGTTTTTGTTTTCTGGATCACAATTTGTTCTTTTTTGACTTTATTTTTAAACAAGTATCACACTCCAGGAGTTTGCCTGTTTTGTTTTTTGTTTTTAATTTAGATACTATTAGTCCTACAAATCCTAAAGCTGAAAATCTGCCCACAGTCCAGGGCATGCCCCCAGCTCAGACTCCCCAGCACTTCTGTGGCTTCACCCACAGCCACAGCAGGGCACAGCCCCCCTCTCTCCAGTGGGACCCTCACCCTCTCCCCTCTACACAGCTCTTCTTCCTTCCCAGTCCCTATGGAGAGAAGTAAATTCCTGGACATGTTTTCCAAAAATTAAAATAAAATACCATGCCCATGAGCTGTCCCTTCTACCACTTACGGAGAGGGACCAGGCCTCTGAAATGAGAACACCCCACTGCACCTCTGGGAGCCTCCTCAGAGCTGCTGGCCTTGGTGCCCTGAGACCCAAGGTGTCCATCTCCTTCCTCCCGAGGAGACTCTGGTGGGGACAAGCCAAAAGTCGCTCTCAAGCAAATCCATCCAAACCTGTTTGGCAATTTCTCTGTCAGTACTCACTAATTAAAACACACAAAGGTCTTCCCAAGTCTTAATGGTCTCTTTGCCTGGCCTTGAAGTTTTCTGTCTGTTAGTTTTTTGATTTGGTTGGGTTTTCTGCTAGCTGTTTCAAACCTGTGTTCCTGAATTCCTCAGGCTGGGCTGTGACTCTGGGGAGAAGGCACAGCCCCCTGGTGTAGCCCAGTGAAGCTGAGCGGCCCCAACCCTCCTGTGAGAAGGCCTAAGAGGCCACAAAGGGTTTAGGAAGGTCCCTTTCTCTGTGACCCTCATCTCACCTCAGTCCTTTGCTCAATGTTCCTCGTTCTGACCACACTCCACCCTCTGCAGGGCAGCTCCACCCCACTCCACCCGCCTGTCTCCTTCCTTCCATATCACGTCCTCGGTGCCCAGCCAAGACCCCAGCCCATGCACAGTGCTCAGTACATATCATCCACTGCCAGGATGGACCCAGCTTTGTCTGTGCTTGACCGCCTGAGGAGGAAGTGGAATGACTCTGTGTGAACGGAGAGTATTGTCGGTAGAGACAGGTCTGTCTTCATGTCACAGAGCTTCCCCGGGATGCTCTGGGCCACCAGCTGATGATTTAGGTGGTTCACATTTATAGGGAGACCAGGACCACACTGTGGCTTCCAGCAGGACATGAAAAAACCACCTCAGCCAATAGTAACTCATTGCAGTGTCCTCGGTCTTCCTAGCTGCATAGTGGGTGTGACTGTGGGGGTCAGTCTGGGGAGGGTCTGGGCTTCTGTCAAAATAATAACATGGCCTAGGGTGGGTGTCTGCAAAAGGAGCTAGAAAGTGATGATTGCTGTGCCAGCCTGAGGGTGGAAGAGGTCCCCTCCAGCTTGTGTGTTGAGCGGGGAGGGAATTGGAGGTGGGAGAAGGGATGGAGGGAGAGGAATGTGTTCAAGGAACGATTCCTGGGGCAGAACTTGCCAATAAATAACAGTAGGTGTGATTACTTTGGGGTCTGTAGACTGACTCCCATTTTACTGATGAGGTGATGGAGGCTCAGAAAGATTGAGTAGCTGCCCAAGGCCACACAAGTGGAGCTCGGCCTTGACCCTGAGTGACGCTGTGCCCCCACAGCTGCGAGCCCTTGATTAAGACCATGCTTGGGCCGACCCCGTGGCTTAGCGGTTAAGTGCGCGTGCTCCGCTGCTGGCGGCCCGGGGTCGGATCCCAGGCACGCACCAACGTACCGCATCTCCGGCCATACTGAGGCCGTGTCCCACGTACAGCAACTAGAAGGATGTGCAGCTATGACGTACAACTATCTACTGGGGCTTTGCGGGGAAAAAGATAAATAAATAAAATTATAAAAAAAAAAAAAGACCATGCTTAATGGAGGGATGATCCGTAAGGAAGTCGTGGTGTATATATATATAATGGAATACTATTCAGCCGTAAAACAAATGAGAAATTCCTACCATTTCTGACAACATCGATGGATCTAGAAGGCAATATGCTAAGTGAAGTCAGGCAGAGAAAGACAAATACTGTATGATCTCACTTTCCTGTGGAATCTAAAATAAACAAACAACAACAATAAAAATCCCATCAAACTCATAGAAAAAGAGATCAGACTCGTGGTTCCCAGAGGTGGGGGCTGGGGGAGGGGGTTGGAGGAGGGTGGTCAAAAGGTACCAACTTCCGGTTATGAGATGAACAAGGACCAGGGACGTAACGTGCAGCAGGGTGACCACAGTGAACGCTGCTGGATGAGACACAAGAAAGTTGTCAAGAGAGAAGATCTTGAGAGCTCACACCACAAGGAGAAATTTTTTTTCTTTTCTTCCTATTGTATCTCTATGAGATGATGGATGTTAACTAAACTATTGCGGCAATCATTTCACATTTATATGTATATCGAACCATCATGCTGTACACCTTAAACTTATACAGTGCTGTATGTCAATTATTTCATAATAAAACTGGAAAAAAAATTCAAACAATACAGAAATAAAAAAAGAACCGTGCTGAAGATGGACAATTGCAATCAAATGCCATGTTCTGTGCAGACCGTTGGCAGCCGCCCAAATCCAGCCTTCGTGGTCATCTCATACGTGGCTCTGGGCACTGGATCCCTGAGGCATCTCTGCCCGGCTGACAGGGCTCTGGACCTTCCCTCCCCTGACTGAGGACACAAGTTGGGGGTCATCATCTCCATTTATGGATGGGGAAGTTGGATGAAGGCCTGAATTCAGAGAGCTACTCTGGGCCAGTGCTGACACGGAGGGATTGTATGTGTTTAACAGTCACCTGCAGCCCTGGACTTTCACTCCTGGCAGGAAGCAACAGGGCACCTACTGGGCTGATGGACTAACAGCGGTCCCAGCTGCCTTGACCCTAGGTGGGTAGAGGGGAGACAGTACAGCTGAGGGCTTACTAAGTGCCCTGGACCACCGTAGGCACTTTGCCCACATGACGTCATTAACCCCACAGACATTTCTGGTAGCTGCCACCCCACCCTACAGCCTCAGATGGGGAGGGAACGTGCCCAGGCCACATGAAGGACACCCGGACCTCTTGACTCCAGAAGGTGGACTGTCCCCACTGCCTCTGTGCCTACTGCATAAAATCCACACACTGAAAAACCAGACGTGGTGAGTTTGCTCACCAGGAGCCGTCCTGTGATGGGCCAACGGGGCACCTGTGCCCTGCTGCCTCCAGTGACAATGAGCCACCACATGTGCTCGTTCTTGCTTGTTCCCAACCTCTTCTAGGCTCCTGTCTCTTGTTCCAGGGAGTCTTTGCACTCACCCCTGAAAGAGTCATCACCAAGCTCAAGATCTGAGCACTCAGCAGGTGCTGGCAGTGTCTGGTGTCTCGGGGACAGGAAGGGAGGGGGCAGGGTCTGCGAGTAGGGGAGACAGAGTCCCTGCTCCCTTGGCGAGCTCCATCCAGAAGGGACAGCACATCAGAGTCAGTAGACACCTGGGCTGGGCCTGCACTGGGCGCTTTCCCGTCTCTGCAGCCAGACGCTGAGAGGCGGCACACGGCCAGTCATCCCACACCCAGGTCGGGGTGGGGACAGGCCCCCATTTCTGAGCACCTCTGGGTGCACTGAACATGTAGCAGTAATAGAGGCCCCAGCCCTCGATGCCCCGTCAGTACCAGTTCAGTAAGTGCCGGGCAGTGGGAGCAGGGCAGACGGGATCCCTGCCTTTTTGAAGCTTATCAGGAGGGCAGGAGACAGGGATCAATCACACACCCGCATAATAAATGTGTAATGAGGTCTGGTGCTGGAAGGAGCCCCAAGAGCATCCACCTGCACATCCTGGCTTGGTCTAGGGGTCAGGGAGCTTGTGGGAGGAAGTGACCCCTGAGTGAGTGAGCAGTGGTTAACTAGGGGGAGGGAGAGAGCCTTCCCTACAGAGGAGCAGCCTGCGCCAGGCCCCGGGCCATCTCCTGGAGGAGCACTGGGCCCTGCTCCCCACACTGCAGGGCTGCAGTGTAAATACGGAAATCCATCAGAGAGTCAGAGGCGCTCGGGGAGGGGCGGGAGGGAGAACGTGGGCAGCCACGGGAGCCCAGGGCAGAAGGAAATGGGCACAGGCAGTGAGTTCTGGAAGAAGACAGGGCTGATGCCCACAGGGCAGTCTGAGGAGGGCCTGTGCAGAAAAGAGGGAGAAGGGACATACCAGGCCAGGGGAGCAGCATGGATGAGTCCTAGAGGCCGAGAGCCTTTGATCTCTGTGGGAAGCAGGGGGGCTCCTGGGGCAGAGCTGGAAATGCCAAGGGCAGGCTGGGCTCAGGAGACAAGAGGTAAAATTCAGAGTATAAAGCATCCGTCAAGCTTAGACATTTCCTCTCTTTGGCCCTGAGAGTGATGGGCTCATTTTCTCTGCCCTAGAGAGGGGCCGGACCCTGCACCTCTGCATGAGAGCTCACGACCCGCCCAATGAGGTGCACTGGGAATTTGGCCCAAGTTGTCCAAAACCTCAGAGCCACAGAGCAGGGCTTGGCCAGTGGGTCCTCGGAATGCAGCCTCAGTAGGTTGGGGCTGGGCCGCCTTCCCGAGTTAAGCACTTTCCTTCCAGGTTTCACCTACAACACCCTTCAGAGAGCCTTTGCCACACAGCGAGCTTCTTAGACGGGGAAGCAGTTGTTGAGTGAATATCAGAATTTAGCAGATGCATCCTGGAACAGCCTTAGCCCCAGCCTTTTACTCTCAAACTCATTCTTCTACCTGGGCTTCCTCCAAAGGCCTCCCCATGGGAACTGACCCCTCATGGATGATCAGGAGCCCACCTTCTAGAGAAGCCACCTGCCCTCCAGTCATTGAGAGAGTGAGGGGAACATTTACCCTCCCACCTACTGCACCAGTGGGCCCTGTCTGGATATCTGTTCTTTTTCTTAGCATTTCTGGTTTCTGTTGGAGATGATACACTTACACTTAGAAAATGTAGAAAAGGAAATTGTACTAATGCCCCCTGATTCTTCCAAATCAAGGCAACTATTTTCATCTCTGCCTACTATCTTTTAGAACTCATGGAGAGGCAGACTTGTTACCACTCTGAGCTTCTATTTCCCTGTAGTGACTTGTGCATTCATTCAGCCTCAACATTTGTCCATTCATTCAGACACCCAAGCTGTCTGAGCACAGTAACCAGGCCAAAGAGGAGACGCTTGCTGGAGCCTCAGTGGTGGAGGTGAGGCCACTGTTCTGGCAGCATTCCATGGTGGGGGCCTTCAAGGCCCTTGCTAAGGCCAGTGTGAGGCCTCTCTAGGGAAAGAGGGGGGAGTCCAACAGTTGCCCACATGTCTTCAGAACTTGGATTGCTTGGTCAGTGCCGAGAGCTTTGAAGAGTGCCTAAAGAAACAGGAGTCCAGGGACCAGCCCAGAGGTCTCTGAATTGGTCCAGGGATCCTGGAGATCTGGAACAGCATGAGATCAGAAAACACAATAAAATCATAGAACCTCAACCAAGCACAGGATGAAACTTGGTACAAAGAAGAATGGCATGTTCTTATGGAGAGTAGTAGGTACTTGCTGATCCATCACTCGGTGCCCAGGGCTGAGCACCGTGCTTAGTGCATGGGAGGGGAAGCAAGTATTTGTTGAAGGACAAGGAGAGAAAGTGAAGGAAAGGAAGAGAAGGAAAGAGGGAAGGGAAAGTGAAGCATGCAGGCAGGCTTCTGGAAAGCTGAGGAACACTCAGACTCCACAGGGCTGTGTTCCATTGGTTCCCTAAACTTGCCAACCATGACACAAAGTATGACCTAAGGGAAGAAGAAGGAAAAGTTCTTCACTGCCTTGGGTCTTAATTATGACTCAGAGTAGCCAAGCCCTTGGAAGGAAGAGAGGGGACCCATGGCTGCCTCACCTGGATGACAGAGGAAGTTCCAGAGAGGTCACCCCAGAGGTGTGCAGGAAACAGCCTGGCTGAGGAGGGTGGACGGCAACCACAGCCTGTGGGGAGGAGGGCTGGACCCTCACCTGACCAACTCAGCTGGTTTGGGAGCAGTCCTGACTGTCAGAGCTGCCCATTGCATCATGGGAGATGATTCAGACCACATCACCTCCCAGACTCATCTACTCACAAACCCATCACCTCACAGACCCGAGACCTCCCAGACCCCACCATTCTCCTAAACCATCACTTTCCAGACCTCATCACCTCTCAGATCCTACATCTCCCCTAAACTCCTTAAACATCAGAGAGACCAGAATCCTGGCACTACCAGGTTCTCTGAGACACGACATCCTCTCCCCGCCTCCCCCACCTCTGATCAGTCGCTCAGAGGGAGCAGCTCTGTGGGAAAGGACAACCCATTCTCAAGAAGACCTTGTGACCACATCCACTCAGCATAGGACAAGTCACCCAGACACATGAGGTCTGTGTCCATACTGTGGGAGATCACGCCAGTGCTGGAAAAGGGGCAGTAGACACCCACGTGCTGACACAGAAGGATGGCGAGGACAGCATCTTTTGGAGATGAAAAGAAGAAGTTGCAGACCAATACATAAGGCATAAATCAATGTTTCTTTTTTAAGAAAATATGCTTGTAAATGCACAGATACATAAGTACCTGGAAGGACAGAAGTCACACTTTTCCCAGTGGTTCCCTCTGGGGATGGGGATTTGGGAGGCAGGGCTAAGGGCAGGAGAGAGATGTCACTTTCCCTTAAATAATGGACATAGAGTATAGAACTTGTGATTGGAAAACTCATTAAAGGAAAGCACATGATGGCTCCAGCCTGCTGACCAGTGCAGGTCCCTCTGCCCTGCCATGCCAGGACTCCTGCAGGAGGCAGAGCCAGCTAGCTGAGGCAGGAGACCTTGGATGTCAGAGCTCCCCAATTCTGGAAACATCATTTTTCTTCTCCCTCCCCCTAGTGGCCCCAACCTCTCAGAGACAGGCTGGGGGTGTGACTGTCAGAGCTGGTCGCACACCTGAGACCAGGGACAAGGAGGCCTGCCTCCCGCCCCCTGGGGGCCTGGCTGATGGACGCCCCAAGCTCTTTGCTCCCTTGGGCTCCCTCAGGTCATCGGCTGTGACAGCCCTCTTGCCTTGGGTTCCTTCCCGAGGGAAGGAGCTGAGCACTGGGGCATCTGGTCATTCTGAACTTTCTCTTCTGGCGTTCTCTTCTGCACATCGCCTTCCACAGAGACAGCTACACACTGGGTCAGGGCTGCGCCTCTAATGTTATCACAATCCTCACCCTCCCTCTGGCCCCGTGTTGAATATACAACAGAGACCTTGGAGAGCCCTCAGACTATAGAGAGTCAAATTGGGACCTGGGTTAAAAATCTGTCTTCTGCTGCTTACTCACTGTGCAACTACAGACAGATTACTTGATTTCTGTGCCCTGGTTTTCTCATCTATAAAATGTCTGTAGTCATCCCCCTCTCAGGCTACTTGTGGATTCAAGGAGACAATGTGTGTCGAGTGCCCTTTGCAAGGCCTGCCATGAGGTAAACTTTAACACGTGAAAGCTGCTATTAACAGACGCTCACAAAATTGCCCCGGGACTCATCACCGTCACTCATGTGTGCCCTTTCACTCTCAGAAGAGAAGTCTTCTCCCCTAGTTGGACACAGATTCCATTAGAGAACATTCTGGCTCTTGGTCACACTCCTGTCTCCCGCCTCGTTTCCTGGGGGTCACCTCCCAGGCCTGAGGCTGTTGCTGTCCCTTCCTCTTTCAGCAAGTGGAAGTTTCTGTTCTGGCCACTGCAGGAGCCGCCAACTGTGAATTCCTGTAACTCAGAAGATGGGAAGGCCGTGGGAGCCAACCCCACAGTCGGCAGCTGAGAATGAAACCAGAGAATGACCCCATGTGAAAGTCACCCCTGCCTCACTTGGAGCTCTTAGACGGGGTCCTCATGGCCTTGTAATGCGAGGGAAGGGAAACGAACTCCAAAGCGTCCCAGAATCTTCATCAGCAAACAAAATCTCAGCCCCAGTAAGAACCTGCCCTTGGTGGACTCGCTGCTTCTGTGGTTCACCCCCCTTGCTCCCACTGTGCCATCAGCTGGCACCACATTATGACATGGACCAGGTGACACCCAGGGCAGCAGCTGGATGCCTCCGCCCCTGCCTCGTCAGGACTTAGTCACCCAGCCAGCCTGCTCTGGGCGCTTCACCCTTGAATGACCTCTCAGGCCTGTGTGGGGAGATGTAGGCTGACCCAGCTCTGAACTAGGGACAGAGCAAAATTGCCACTGGCAGCCCCTCGGGCTCTGCCTTGGGTCAGGCCTGGTTCTGGGGGGTCCTGAGCAGCTGCCTTCAGCCCAGAAGGCTCCATGTTGCCTCCATGAAAACCTCTTGCCTCCTGCTCCAGCACTGCCCACTCAGGGGGGCTGGGTCCTCTCACCCACCTACAACTGTGCCCTGCTGGCCTCTGAGTCCTGCCCTGGGAGGTAGAGGAGGCTTCCCCACCCCCCACATACTGCTCACACCTTCCTGCCATTGCCCCCACCCCCCACTACCATCTGTGGGAGCCTCTCCCAGCCCCCAGGAGCCTCCTCTACAACCAGGCCAGGACCCTCTAAATCACAGATTCTCTTTCCCTCTCCAGAGATCTCTTGTAGTTCACTAAATAGGTGGACCTCTTTCTTCTGGTGATGTGGTGTGAGAATGCCTGTTACTGATTATGTTAACAATACCCGCTCCTTTTGGCTCAAGTGTTTCCACGTGCTCACTATTTTACATATGGTATCATTAATTGCCCAACAACTCAAAAAAACATTTGTTTTTTTATTGTGGTAAAGTACGCTTAACAGAAAATTTACCATCTTAACCATTTTTAAGTACAGTTCAGTGGTATTAAGTACATGCACACTGTTGTGCAACCATCACCACCATCCATCCCCATAACTCTTTGCATCTTGTGAAACTGAAACCCTGTACCCATTAAACAATAACTGCCCATTCTCCCCTCCCCCTTACTCCTCACACCCCCCTTCTACTTTCTCTCTCTATGATTTTGACTACTCTAAGTACCTCATATAAGTGGGAGCACACAGTACTTGTCTTTTTGTGACTGGCTTATTTCACTTAACATAATGCCCTCAAGGTTTATCCATGTTGTAGCATGTTGCAGAATTTTCTTCCTTGTTAAGGCTGAATAATATTCCATTGTAGGTATAGACCACATTTTGTTTATCCATTTATCTGTGATGGGCACTTCTGTTGCTTCCACATTTTAGCTACAGTGAATAATGCCGCTATGAGCATAGGTGTATAAACTCTTTTGGTATAGACTCAGAAGTGGAATTTCTGGGTCATATGGTAGTTCTAATTTTAATTTCTTCAGGAACCACTGTACTATTTTCCATCGTGACTGCACCTTTCTACATTCCCACCTACAGTGTACAAGGGTTCCAATTTCTCAACAGCCTCACCAACACTTCTTTTCTTTTTTTTTTTATAGAAGCCATCCTAATGGGTGTGAGGTGGTATCTCATTGTGGTTTTGATTTGCATTTTCCTAATGATTAGTGATGTTGATCCTCTTTCCACGTGCTTATTAGTCATTCGTACATCTTATTTGGAGAAATGTCTATTCAGGTCCTTTGCTCATTTTTGAATCAGGTTGTTTGCTTTTTTTGTTGTGGAGTTTTAGGAATCCTCTCTATATTCTGGATATTAATCTCTCATCAGATATATGATTTGCAAATATTTTCTCCCATTCTATGGCTTGCCTTTTTACTCTGTGGATAGTGTCTCTTGATGTACAACATTTTTAAATTTTCATGAAGTCCAATTTGTCCATTTTTTCTTTTATTGTCTGTGCTTTTGGTGGCCTGTCCAAGAAATCACAGCCAAATTCAAATGCCATGAAGCTTTTGTCCTATGCTTTCTTCAAAGAGTTTCACATCTTATGTTGATAGCTTTGATCTATTTTGAGTTAATTTTTGTGTATAGTGTTAGGCAAGGGTCCACATTCATTCTTTTACATGTGGATATCTAGTTTTCCCAGAACCATTTGTTGAAAAGTCTGTCCTTTCCCCATTGAATGATCTTGGCCCCCTTGTCAAAAATCATTTGACCGTATAGGCAAGCATTTATTTCTGGGCTCTATATTCTATCCCATTGGTCTATATGACTGTCTTTATGCCAATACCACGCTACTTTGACTACTGTAGCTTTGTGGTGAGTTTTGAAATAAGGTAGTGGGAGTCCTTCAGTTTGAGTCTTCTTTTTCAAGATTGTTTTGGCTGTTTGGGGTCCCTTTAGATTCCACATGAATTTTAGGATGGGTTTTTC